AAAGCTACACAGAGAAACCCTGTCTTGAAAAATAACCAAAAAAAAAAAAAAAAAAAAGAATCCTTAATGGACAATTAAATGTAGACACACAAAGCAGATTCAGACCAGTTTTGGCTTTTTAGTTTTTGTGCTTTTGGCATGCGCTGACATATGGTAAGTATGAAAGTATTTGATAAACCTTTGTATTTTTTTTTATTTTAAAAGGTATATTTTAAAATGTGGTTTCACTTACCATGTGCTCTTGTTTTCTTTTTTCCCCACACAGATTTTCTTTTACACAGTAAAGCCGAAGTTCTTTTTTATATAAGTGTAAGAAAAGAAAATCTGTTTTTGATTAGAATTCAACCTTTATTCGGTGGAAAAAATAATGGCATATGATCTTATGAGGAGAAAAATGGTGCTGTTCAGAAGCATAAAATATACACAATTCCAAAGCCCTTTATATGTAGAAAGGGAAACAAATACGTTTCTTGGTTGAAGCTTGTTTTAGCTTTTATAAGAAAAAAATGGAATAAGAAAAGACTTTTAAATGTTCTTCTGGCTAGATAACTAACATACTCTTGCTTGTATAATCAGAGCTAAAACAAAAGATTGAAATAAATGAGAAACTGGAGTACCAAGTAATCATTTCATTGTCTCTTAGCCAGAACACTGGAGAGGACACAGGCTTTATGGAATGTGAAGCTAAACATTTCTTGGAAACCTGACAAGTGCTTATCAACATTATGTCTTTACATTCTTCTTGTACAGGCCTGTAGGGAGAACCAGACAGACTTTTCTCCTTCTTCTTCTTCCCTTCCCTTCCCTTCCCTTCCCTTCCCTTCCCCCTTCCTTTCCCTTCCCTTCCCTTCCCTTCCCTTCCTTCCTTCCCTCCCTTCTCCTTCTCCTCCTCCTCCTTTTTTTTTGAGACAGGGTCTCTGACAATCCTGAGTCCTAAACTGATTACCCATCAACCATCAGGGATCCACCTTTTCCTGCCTTCCAGTGCTAGTATTACAACAGCATGGCATCATGTTCAGATTCTTTATTAATGTGCTGCTATGTCTGTTTTTGTTTTGTTTTGTTTGATTGTTTAATACCTGGGACCTGGGGATCATCCTCTGGTGCTTCTTGCTTGTAGGACAAGCACTTTGGGGATTAAACCATCTCTCCAGTCCTGGTCTTATTCCATAATATGCATGTTTTCATTGATTTTTTTTTTCTGATCATATCTTATTCCTTCAAATGTTCTTGGAAGCCTTAAGTGAAAATGCTTCCCAGATGAAATTCTCTGAGTTATAAAATAAGAAGGGCGAAGGGTGAACAGTGTATGAATGAAGAGAGTAGGAACTACAACCAAGTGAGGAAGGAGTCTTTGTCTATCTGTCTATCTATCTATCTGTCTGTCTGTCTGTCTGTCTGTCTATCTATTGAACCACCTGCCTCTGCCTCCCTAGTGCTGGGATTAAAGGCTATGCCACCATGCCTAGCTGAGAAAGGCGTCTTAAAGTCGAACTACAAATAGTATTTCTCCAGTCTTTCTATTTTCTGCCTTGACTGTCGTCCTTGATTTTTCTGTGGCTCTCCTGAAAAGCACTTGTAATCTTTGTTTTGTTTTGTTTTTGATTGTTTGTCTTTTGAGACAGAGTTTCTATGTTTTACCCTGGCTGTCCTGGAACTTGCCCTGTAGACCAGGCTGGCCTCGAACTCAGAGATCTGTCTGATTCTGTCTCTCAAGTGCTGGGATTAAAGGCCTGCACCACTGTGCCTGGCTAGCACTTGTAATCTTTCAACTCATGTATCATTTGTGTTTTCTTTGGTATTGCCAGTTTATACCTCTCTATTTCATTATTTTAATTTTGGAGGGGTTTGGAGAGGGAGCACAGATTAAAGTGTATAGTTAATTTCTCACATTTATTAGGAGGTTTTGATGACAATTTAATATTAGCTAGGGGAAGAACATATCTCTTGTAGGTGAAAACTTTTCCGGTTTTTGGTGGCTGACCTTTTAATGAGTTCTTATTACATAAAAGTAAAGCCCAGATTATATTCTAAAATGGAAACCCTGTGGAAATAAAAATCAATATTCCTCTGCATAAGTCTGTAAGTGTTTATCTTTGTTGTGCTGATGTTACTAGTTTTTATTCTTATTTTTGATGGGGAGATAGAAATTTTGCCCTCTTTTATGTGGCAAGAGAGGAGGTAAGGATAAAGCATGTTCAAAAACACCTCACTCATGGGAGATTTGCTTATAACCGCAGCACTTGGGAAGTAAAACAGGAGGATGGGGGTGGGGTGGGGGGGGATTCAAGGCCAGCTCAGGCTACATGAGACCTTATCTCAAAAGAAAACAAAGCATCCACCTGATGCACCAGCAGCCCATTCAAGGCATCAGGGCCGTTCCTGAGCTCCCAGAGTGGACCTGGAGCAGATCAAGACAACTAGGCTTTCAGACAACACTGTAGGGGTTTCACTTGAGGATCACAACAGCTCTATCATTGCCTGCAGAGAGCACCAGGGAACAGGAACGTTTCATCCATAGGACTCTCTACCCAAACTTGGCTTTAATCTTGACCACTTATGCATTAATATTTGTCATTGCTCTTTGGTTATCTATGAAGTTCTGTCTTACATATTTTTATCTATATTATAGGGTGAGTATGGTGCTGGTTTTATGTCAACATGACACAAGCTATAGTCATCTGAGAGGCGAGATTACTAATCAAGAAAACACCCCCATAAGATCGTGTTGTAGGCAAACCTGTGGAGCATGTTCTTTTTTAATGATTAATGGGGCATTGCCCAGCCCATTGTGGGTAGGGCCACTCCTGGACTGGTGGTCCTGGGTTCTATTAGAAAGCAGACTGAGCAAGCTGTAACTGCGCCCCTCCATGGCCTCTGCATCAGTGCCTGCCTCCAGGTTCCTGCCCAGTTTGAGTTCCTGTCCTGACTTCCTTCATGATGAATTGTGATGTGAAAGTGTGAGCCAAAGGGACCCTTTCCTCCCCAGCTTGCTTTCAGTCATGGTGTTGGGTCACAACAATAGTAACCCTAACTAAGACAGTAAGGTAGGTTTTTTGTTACTGTTGTTTTGTAAATTGTAACGATTAAGCAACAAATAATTAAGAAACAAAAGTGGGTCTTATGTCTGATTTGGTTCAATCACTTAGTGTTATAGATGAGAAAACTGATGTTCAAAGAGAAGAAATGACTTGTTGAAGTGAGCAATGCAGATGCTAGTCTTCAGTAAAATGAAGCAATGATCCCATAACTCTACAGCTGATATTCACAGTAGCTGAGATGAAACCAGCCTATATGTCCATCAACCATGAGCTAATAAACATCACACACACACACACACACACACACACACACACACACACACACACACACTCAAACTTTATTCAGTAGTAAGAATAAAATTATGTGAGTAGCAGGAAAATGGATAGAGCTGGAGGCCATCATGTTAAGTAAAACAACCCAGGCTCAAAATATCAAATATTCCATACTCACATGTGGATTCTATCCTTGAAACTATATACAAAAAAAACAAAAAACAAAAAAACAAAAAAAGAAACTGAAACAGGAGAAAAGAGAATGGCTAAACTCAGCGTCTATCAAAAGCAGTACAGAAGAAATCCAACTTTTGATAACGGGTTTGGATTAAGGCCTCTTACTGGATCCTACAATCAGTACTCTCTGCTTTTTCCTCATACCAGTGCTGCTGTTCGTTGTTTTTTCCCTAGCTCTGATGTCTGAAGCCTCTGCTCACACCCAGACTGTGTGAAATAAAAATTTTAATTGACATCTGTTAATAGCTACCAATGAATAAAGACCTGATACTTTCCAAAAGGTTACCAACTATATCCACCAGGCATAAGGTACAATGAGGACAACATGGTATATGTTGGGGAGGACTTGAAAGGAAGTGGGAACAGGAGACTTGAAGGGGGAACAGGAGAGCAACAGGAGAAAACAGAGAGAAATGTTGCTTTCTTTCCTTCACATGCAAACTCTAGCTTTAGCTACACGCATGGTATGAAAGCCGGAGAGGAGTTCCTTGGGAGGAATATTGGGGCCAAGAGGAAGAGGAAGGGAAGGAAGGGAAGGTAACGGGTGGTGAATATGAGCAAAATACAAATGAAAATACTACAGCAAAACCCCTCATGTGCTATGCTAACTAAAACAAACCAATAGAATTTTACAAAGAGAACTGTATCCTGGGGCAATACACTCACAGATAGAAGATCAGTTACCTGGGTCTACTTGGCGATAGGACTGAGCGCCGGCTTGTCACTGCTGTAGTTTGAGACGGCAGGAGATGGACAGACTGAAATTCAACCCTCACACTAGGATTTGCTCAACTATCACATACCAGGCAGACATCCAATCCAGAAGGCACAATGCAGGGTCCAGCGGGTTCGGATGACAGCGCCCGGTGTCTGATGTATAAAATGAAGGGTTCCTCGGTGAGGTATTCCAGAAAGAGAAGAAAAGGATTTCTTTGCCACCGCTTAGCTGACTCATCCCAGAGGCAGAGAATCGTGATCTCGAAGGACCCGTACCTTCTGCTCAATGAAAATGTTCTTGGACCAGAGAAATACAGCGAATAGAACCATTTCTTAAAAAGAAAGCCCACAAGATTACCCAGTGTCCTCTGCTCTCTGAGTCTCCTTGTTTGGTTTTTAGTTCAGAGCCACAGGCCACAATGAGCAGGTTTGCTGGGTGTAGTGAGTGGACCACGGGGCCAGGTGGGACCGGAGAAATTTACAGCTACAGCTAGGTAAAAATACATCATCGAGTTAGAAGGCAATTCTCTTTTTTTCTATATTTATACACCAGCTTTTTTTTTTTTTTTTTTTTTTTTTTTTTTTTTTT